TGGCTCCCTTTCCCCCCGTTATGAATAAATAAGTAAAATTACTGGGTTCTGGCTTTTTGTTTTTGTCTCCTTTTAAATTTTTTAAAAACGATGTTTTCACTTGTTAAAAAAAAATATATATATATACGTGTATATATATACACACATTATATAATCTGTATTTTTTATTTTAAACACACTTTTCACAAAAGGATAATCTGCCATAATTATTTTTTAATTTTTTTTAAATTTTATTGGGGAACAGTGTGTTTTTCCAGGACCCATCAATTCCAAGTCAAGTAGTTGTTTCAATCTAGTTGTGGAGGGCGCAACTCAGTGGCCCATCTGGGGATAGAACCAGCAACCTTGGCGTTATGAGCACTGTGCTCTAACTTAATCCTGCTAACTGGCCACCCCCACCGTAATTTTTTTTTTTACAACTCTCTTCAATTTTCTCATTTGGGGGGAAAAAGATGGAAAACAAAGGGATTTTATATATTTTCATTTTGTTTTCCATTTTTTAAAGTTTGCATACCTTGGGGGAGGGGAGTTATCACTTTGTGAGAGGTATAAATGTCTAATTATTACATTGTTTTGTACACCTGAAACTAATAAAAAGTCTGCATACCTTATTACAGAATAGATAATTAAATGTATATTCACTGTTATGTTCTAGTAGATAAAAATGTTAGTAGTTATTTGAGTTATCAACTAATCACATAAGCAGTCTTACCAAAGAAATATGATAAATTATATATTTCTTTGCTTTTACTTTCACTTATTTATATTTACTCTCATAAAGCCCTCAGGATTTATTGACAAGTTTCTGAAAGACTTTTTTACTTAGAATTATAGAATGTTCTTTCTATATGTCAACCTAACTGTAATAGGCAGGATTGACTTCCCCAGAAGGAGGTGTCTAAGCTCTAAACTATTTCTTCCACTGGAAGACCAGTGCTTATGCATGCACGTTATCTCTCAGAGGGCCTATTCATGAAATCAATTTTAAGTACCATTTTAAAACATTAAAAACAACACCCACCTTCTACTGTTAAATTAAACTGATGATCTTCCTTATACTTTACATGTGGGATTAAAACAAATCAAAACCAAAATTAAGCCCAACCATAAAAGCACACTGCAGTTTCAGGACCTGTAAGGCAGCAGAGTGCAAAGTCAGTCAGGAGAGGGGCCAGGTTTCCTTCAACCAAAAAAAGCCAAAACACTACCAAAAAAAAATCAAATGAAGATCCCATTTGACTTTTCATCAAACTTCCCACTCAAAATGTATGTATCACATTAAATCATCACACTTCAAATGTATAAAATGTATGTTTATGTATGAGTGAATGTTAAAGAGATCAATAATACTTTGCATGAGTCACTCTGCCACTTACAAAGTGGTATCATTTTCATATCTGACTGATCATCACAAATACCCCATGAATTAAAGCAATTGGTTATTATTTACAACACAAATGGAAACAATAGACTAATAAATTACATTACTTGCTCAACACAATTAACACCCTGATTCCCAATCCAATGCTCTTTTTACATACCATCTTGGTGGCAGTATGAACCAGAAGTAAGGTTTTAAGATAGTGATTTATGGACAAGTACTAAAGAAAAATTAGATTTTTCACTTCCTGTGATGACAGAAGAAAACCTTTTAATTCACTTTACTATTTTCTAATATTTCCTTCAGAAACACTATAGGCCATTATAAACAGGTTTCCACACATTAAATGCTCTAAAAACAAAAACGAAACAAAAAAACCCCCCTGAAATCTATCAGTTAGTTGCAATCCTCCCCAGATTACACAGCTAAATTTCATTTTAGAACTCAAATTGAGAGATTTTTTTTTCAAGTTTATCTGTTGCAATATATATCAGACATGACCTTTGAAATTGACTCAATTTTTAACTGTTTTAATCTAGTCAAAACTGCAGAACTGCTTGGAAGAAAATTCTTGAAAATGTTAAGTTATCACCTACAATATGGCAACTTCCTTACCTTAACCACACACGAATATGAAAACAATTCAGCCTCTGGTAGTTCTGTATTGTTAGATGAGTCTGCATTTTCAGTTTAAAAATACCCTGGGCTTAACAGGCCTTGCCGCTGTATTCATCTTCTTTACATGTTCAGAAACTGCTACTTCTTAAGATCTTAGCAGTTCATATCACTAATTTTTAAAAATCTTTATTTAACTTGAATAAGAATTACACAATCTGGTTAGTAAATCAGACCAAGTTAGTAAATCAGATATATTAATTATGAATGTTTCTTATGCCCTATAAATGGACCCAAGTATCTAATAAGATATTGAGCCAACGCAAAACATAAAATACACAAAATTAAAATGAAGAAAATATTGAAACAAAATTTAAATTTGGGCAGAGAAGCAAAGCTCCAAAGATAACCTAGGAAAGTATGAATACTACAGCTTTAAAACAAAAAAGATTCTGAATGTGTATTTTATTAGTTAATGGATACTTGGGGCAAAGGAAACCCCAATTTTTCAAGACTGGTAATTGCAAAAATACGTAAATATTCCTACAGAAGAATGACATGCCCTTTCTGTATCACAGAAAACAAAAATGTGGGCTAAAAAATACACTACTTACTATTCATAGCCAACATATCCATAATAGGAAATAAAAAATTAACATAATCCAAAATATCACACATATAAAACAGTACTCAAAGTGATTCAATGAAAACAAACTTAAAATGCCCAGTTTTATAATTGCTTAACTTCTTTATTACCACTGGCAAGTGCTTACAAATAATAAATTAAAGATTCTGCTGAATATTCTTTTCAGATTAATATCTCCATATTTTGTCACCTGATGGATTTACAGGAATAATCAAGATTGCACTGCCTTAACTGAAGAAAGGCTAAGCACTCTGTCTTTGATTTTACTGTACAAAGTGAAAAAAGAACATATCAAAATGAGATGTGATGTACAAATGCTAAGAATTATTGTCATATCTGGTTTTTTTACCTCTCCAGCCTAACTAATGAATTCTTGTTCCTTCTGGGCAGTTAATTTACATTTAAACTTGTTATTCCTATAATCTGTGGATGTAGTAACAAGGGCTCTGCCTGTTTTTTCTTTTAAAATTTTATTGGGGAACAGTGTTTTTCCAGGACCCATCAGTTCCAAGTCAAGTAATTGTTTCAATCTAATTGTGGAGGAGGGTGCAGCTCAGCGGCCCCTTGACTATGTTTTTTGCTGCTGCTTATTTGCTTTTTATACATGGAATTGCGGCACTTAGGTCCCTTTTTTAAATTAAGGTTTTTTTCTATAGAAAATTTGGAAAATACCAGAAAGTATAAAGAAAAAAATCATTTGTAGTTTCACCATCTAATCACTTTTATAACTATGGCTATCATTTGAATCTTATTTCAAAGACATATAATTGCTTCTAAGTTCTACAGTTTCAAAGTTAGAATTGCACTATTTTCTAACCTGTTCTCATTCAAAAATTAGAATTTCCCACACCCTTAAACATTATTTGAGAACGATTTTTAATGGCTTCTTTAATTAGAATCTCATCCTTAGGGTAAAGGGTTAAAAATAATGCATTAAACTAATACCCCCACTTCCTCCCTTCCCTTCCCCTTTAGGACAGGAGCTCAGGAAAGAGTACTGAACTATTCATACTAGCGTTCAAGGTGTGATAAATATCCCAAAGAAATATGGGGCCTAATAAGATTGAAACCTTAAACCAAAGCTATGATGCGCTAATAGTAACATTTTAAACACTATCCAGGGGATGTGACCTTATTGGAAGACGCGTATCTCCTAAGATTCGCAGTACTAAAGTGGTTACCTATTCTAGATACAAGAAAGCTCCATTCCGTTTTTTAATGAAGCAGTGCAAATTTCACCCATTCAACAAAGTACCTTAATTGGCTGAGTTCGTTAAAATTGGTGCTCTCAATGGCAGAGTTGGATTCATTAAACAAGGCAAACACGTAATGCATACAAGGCACTCACTATACGGACAGCTGCTAGAGGACTTATCGATTAGGAAGACCGGCGCTAAAGGGGGCCAGAGGAGGGGAGAAAGGATATGGAGTGGTCTTTGATCAATACCAGACCGGTGTACGAGCAGAAATCTCTGCTGCATTATTTGATATTTAATCTTTCTATTCCTGGCTTCATGGGGCTCAAACGTCACCCAAAAAGCTGGGCCAACTGAAAACCCGGCAGGGTGACGCACGTAACATCTTACCATATGGATTCTCATCATCAAGATCGTGAAGAGCCCCAAGCCAGCCCAGCGAAAGAAGGAGGGTGTCCCGGGCCCTCAGCTCCCCCACACCCCGGGCGCACCGCTTGCGTCTGCAAGGTGGCGTCGGAGTCTGCAGAACCACGAGCCCCTAGGAGCTGACTTTGGCCTCGGTGGCTGCGGACTCGCGTTCCGAGGCCACCCTCGCGGCTGCACACGCCAGACGCCTGGAGTCGAGTCCCAGTCCCAGCAGCCCCAGTCCCAGCAGCCCCAGCCCCAGCAGCCCCAGCCCCAGACGAGACCCTACGAGCCCTCCGCCAGGCGGCAGGGCACCCGGTGCCAGCCAGGGCCCAGACAGGTGGCCGCGACTCCTCTCCCGGGGTCCAAACATGCCCAGGAACGTACCTGAAGGGGGTAGCGCCACCACCACCCCACGGCGCTGGCGGTGGTCACAGCTGCGAGCGCAGTGACGCCTCTCATAAAAACAACAACCTGCTCACAAGCGTCCGCAGCCGGGAGGCGGCGGCCGGAGGAGCGCCGCAGCGCATGCTGGGACTCGTAGTCTCGCCTGCGCCTTATATTTGGAGGCAGCGGAGGGAAGAACTACGACTCCCAAAAATGAGAGAGCACCCTGCCGTGGAGAGGCTGCAGGAAGCTGGGCCAAGCGGCCGCAAGCCTCACAACATCCGGGCCCCGGCGCTGGAGAGGCGCCGCGGCCGGTTGCTATGGAGACGGACGGCTACAACCACTCATAGGACTCGCGGTTCCACCCGGGGTGACTGCTCCCTAGATTACGCGGATTAGTTCATACATATTGATCTAGTCGTCGGTTCACTTCTTTGCTGCTTTAATTGGGTGTAGTAAAAAGGCCGCATCCCCTGGGTGCTCGCTGGTCTTCTTGCCTTCCGCTGCAGGAAAAGACTGCGTTTGCCGAAAAAATAAACAGAAGATAGCGAGAATGACCGAGTACGACTGGGTGGGTTTGAGCAGAGGGCTGGATGCTTTTGAATGTTATTATCTGCTTTAAATTGGAGGCACCCTGTAATCCGCCCCCGCCCCCAAAAAAGAACACCATTCTAGGCCACTGGGCTACACAGATGCAAATGTGCATTACTACATTAAGCCAGAATTGCTTCTGAAGGCATAATAAAGATTGGGGATGGTACGCAACTTGTACCCCATGGCAAAGTGAGGTGGCTTCCAAAAGAAAAACGTACCTTGTTAACTTTACATTTTTTTTACATTGTGACTTGTTCAAAAAAGGATATGAGCAAAAAAAGGATATAAAGCACTTATATTTACTGTTGATGGACACAGTAGAAAGTTAAGGTTTAATTCTGTCTGTCCACCAATTATGACCAAAAAAAGTTTTAAAACATGAACAAGGAGGATGGTGGGCCTGAGCAGAAACAAAAGGGTGCCTCAAAATTAGACCTTTGGGTTTTTTTTGCTTTGGATGTTACTATATTTAACGTCAACTAGGACACAACATCAAAAAAGAAAAAACGATTTTTAATTTTATAGTTACAGCTGTAATGGGTGTTTTTATATTTCAATGGCTAGCTTTTGTTTTTTTGTTTTTTTTTTAAATATGTGTGCGTTTATACTGAAGGACTTTGAAAAGTCAAAATAGCTTGGCTTGCTCCAATTCTAGAAGAGCCTAAAATTAAATTAGTAAGAAAACTTATACCATCTATTTGTAGATTTTTATTCTTTTCAAGACACTTTCACATGCTAATTCTAAGACAGTCAATTTAAAAAGAATCATTTACAATTTTAATTAACCTTGATAACCTTAAGTAAAAAATAGTTGCTGGCCTTAGGTGTAACCCGCAGAGAACTTAAAATAATCCTATTATTATTCTTTGTATTAGGCTGTTTTATTTTTAATTGTATCTAGTTTGAACTCCACATTTTAAGAACATCAAATTTTGAAGAGGGTGAAACCCAAATAAGGAAGCTGCAGTGACATCCTATGATGTAAACTAAAAGCGATGGGTATTTTGTTTCTAAGTCTATAGACATTGATGAATTATCACAGAGATCTAAAAGATTTAGGTAGACACTTCCAGATTGTGTTGTATAAATTATACCAACAAAGTTTATCAGCTAATTTGTCTTCTATTTTAACTAGATTTGGGTCTGTGTATTACATTTTGCATCAAACTGATCATCAACATTTTAGAGCCAGTGGTAGAGGGTGATTCAATGAAAGGGAGATCTCTGACTGAGGTTGCCCTAAGCAACCTGAACTGGGTGTCCATAAAGTAAACTAAGGTTGGTACTTTTCCACACAAGTCAGGGCATCCCACCTTCCACCTAAGAAGCCTTCCCTGTGCTGAGGAAACCTAGACATTTTGAGAAAAGCTGACCTGTTAATCATATACCATAGGATTCTGGTGACTTGCTGTTATCCAATGTCTATGCTCTTGATATGAGTATTAAATGAGTATTAGTAAACTAGTACACAAATGTAAAGTGTTATTAACCTGTAAATTTCAGCACTGAATTCTGGAAAAGCATACATATGCATTGAGGTAAATCGGTGAAAAAGAAAATGATAAAAAAGGATTCCATTTATATAGCGATTTATTATTTGCATCAAATTTTCTTTCATTTTCCCTCCACAAGCACAGAAATTGTGGCTGCTTTTGTTAAACCAATTTTACAGATGCTATGCAAAGGGGAAATGATAAAGGATTGGAACCTCCCTCACAGTTCTGGCCTTGTGCTACTCCTCTAACTATTGATAATCATTCAAATCTGAACAAAGGAAAAGAAAGAGAAAGTGGACTAAATAATTCACATTTGCATATTTGAACTCAGGCTTTCAAAACAAATAGGTTTCTGTCATTGGGAAATTGAACTTTGCTGAGAATTAAGTGTAATATTATAGAATAAACCCAGGAATTCAGGGTGAGCTGGGTTATACTAAAGAGGAACCTAACTAATCTGACTCAAATTTGAAACTCACTTAAGACTGACACAATAGCTCTGTAAACATTTTTATCTCCATTTTAGAGTTGGAGAAACAGATTATATGCTTGCTAGTTTTAAGGATTTAGAAGTCTTAAAGGGTCTCCAGCCTCATGAATCACTATGTGCTGTAGTGTCTTCAAAGAACTTAAATGCATATAAACCATCTTTTTCTTATTTAACCTTAAAAAGTCAAAGTTTCAGTATCCTAACAACCACTATGAAGTTATTTAGATAATAATATAATTTCTGATTTGGAAGGACTTAAACCTTAAGTATTCTAGAAGTTGCCAAATTTTTGTTTTTGTTTTTTATTAACTATCAAAACTTTTTGCCTACATGGACATCACAGTGCATATATTAAGGGCCTTATCACTAGAGCCCTATCATGAATAAATACACATTTTCCTTTATGCTCTTTGAATACCTGAAAACCACTTAGTTCCTGTTGCTATATTTGGAGAGCCCTGATATGGGAGTCCTCAGATTAGGAAACAAAACCATCTAATCCATCTCCTTTGTTTTATATTCATAGACAAAGAATTTGAATCTTTGTAAAAGAATTTCATCAAAATCACACAGCCATTATAAGTGCCAACATCAAAACCCAGAACTGGTGACACCTAATATGTACTTATATATAACTCTCACAATTGGAGGAATACAAATACACGTTTCCCAACTCAGTCTGCTTGACATACTCTTGTATAATACACGTAGGTGTCCATTTGGCCTTACCTCTCTTACCTCATATCCCCACTCTTCTTAACTGGCCTCCCAAAGGCTTCTTTAACTCCTGACCACCGCTTAGCCATGTCTTTCATAACAAATGTGTAGCCCAGTACAAGCAGGTCCTTGAATAAGATCGTTTTGTGATAACACTAATGAGATGCCCTAGAAACTTAACTCTTGTTTATATCAATTACCCTATGGTAGAACTGGTTTCACTGAAGCTCCAAGAACCTATCAACAATGTTAAGTGGCGGCTTATTGTACTCACAGTGTGATGTAGGGACCTAGAGCTTGAGTATCACCTGGCCTGCTATAGCTCCTTTCCACATCCATTCAAGGCCCTACAGCAGCCCAAGTAATCATATTAAAAGTTGTTACATCATGACATGCTTCTCCTTAAAATCCTTCAATAGCTTTCCTTTGCTGTTACCAGAAAGATCCAAATTTTGAACATAGTCAAGAAGACCCTGCAGGATCTGGAACCTGCCCCTCTATTCTCATCTCAACTCATTTGACTTTGGCCACACTTTTTCTTTGTTCCCACCTCTATTTTTTCCTTCCTTGCTTTACAGTCTTAGATTCAATGACACTTGGCCAGAGTGGCCTTCCTTAGCTCCCCCACACTAGGGTAGAACCTCCTATATATTTTCATAAATATCTTTTTTCTTCATTGCAGTTACCACAATTACTCTTCAATACCTCACGAGAAGAGGATTTCCAAAAAAGTGGAGTGGATAGGGCTAGGTTTTTTGTTGTTTTCCCGGCTTTATTGAGACATAATTAACATGTACATGTAAAATTGTGTAAGTTTAAGGTGTACATAATGATTTGATATATGAATATATTATGAAATTACCACAATAAGGTTAACACCTCCATATAATTACAACAATATTTAAGATCTACTCTCAGCAACTTTCAAGTCTATAATACAGTATTGTTAACTATAGTCACCATGCTGAACATTAGATCCCCTGAACTTATAACTGGAAGTTTGTACCCTTTGATAAACATCTCTTCATCACCTGCCTCCCCCCATCCCCCACCCCCATCCAGCCCCTGGCAACTACCATTCTACTCTTTTTTTTTTTAAGTTGCAGAAAAGTAATTTATTAGAAGTAAAAATACATTTCAAAGAAGCTGAAGCGGGCTGAGCAAAGGAAGCTCAAAAGGCCCATTCTACTCTGTTTTAATGAATTTGGCTTTAAAAAACAAAAAGATTTCAAATATATGTGAGATCAGACAGTATGTCTTTCTCTGTGTATTGTGTATATATACCACTTTTTTTTTTAAATTAGTTTCGGGTGTACAAAACAATGTAATAGTTAGACATTTCACCCCTCACAAAGTGATAACCCCCTCCTCCAATCTATTGCCCCTCTGACATCCTATATAATCTATTACAATTCCATTGACTCTATTTCCTATACTATACTCCATATCCCGTGACTATATATTAAATTATAGTTGACATACAATATTATTCAGCTTCAGCTGTGGTCAGGCCTCTACACCGTCCATGAAGTGGTCTCCCTAACAAGACATGTGCCCATCTGACACCCTATATCACATTTTCTTCATTTATTCATCTGTCAATGGACATGGTTGTTTGTGTGTCTTGGCTATTATAAAGAACGCTGTGATGAACATGGGAATGCAGATATCTCTTTGAGATAGTGATTTCTGTAATGAAGCAAAATTTGCCATCCGAAAATATGTCTCTTTGACATAAGGATTAGGCTGATTATTTTTAAGAAACTGCAGACATAGGAAAAGTTCTAAAAACTCAGAAGTTACTTTTTTGTAAGAGATTTTTATATGTAACTGTATACGGTAAATCTCTATTTGTAAGGGTGTCTCCCTCACTTTAGGAGGAAGAAGACGATGACCTTATCTCTAGAAACTCTTTATCAATGGAGAAGGCAAGGACTTAAATCTGCATAACAACTGTACCCTTGGTTACTGTGCTTTCCTGGTAACCTCCCCCCTCATAACTGACTCCCCACCCCCAACACCTTTTATGTTTATCTGGTGATGTTATTTAAGGTGGTGGCCTCTGCCATTTCAGATTTGCTCATTTTTCCTGGGTCTCTCCCATATATATAGGAGGTATACATGTACTAAATTTTCTCTCCTGCTAATCTGTATCATGTCAATTTGATTATTAGACCAGTCATTAGAACCTGGAAGGGTAGAGCAAAAATTTTCCTCCCCGACACTTCATTTCCTTTGGATATATATATATCCATGACTGGGATTGCTGGATCATATGGTAGTTCTATTTTTAATTTTTTGAGGAACCTCCAATTTACATTCTCACCAATAGTGCACAAAGGGTTCCTTTTCCTTCACTTCCTCCCCAACACTTGTTATATCTGGACTTTTTGCTAAAAGCAGTTCTAATAGGTGTGACCTGATATCTCACTGTGGTTTGATTTGTATTTCTCTGATGATTAGCGATGTTGAGCACCTTTTCATGTATACCTGTTTCCCATTTGTATATCTTTAGGGAAATGTCTATTTAGGTCCTTTACCTACTTTTTAATCAAATTGTTGTTTTTGCTATTGAGTTATATGAGTTCCTTGTATATTTTTAATATTAACCCCTTATCAGACATATGGTTTGCAAACGTTTTCTCCTATTCTGTAGGTTGTCACATTCTGTTGATGGTTTCTTTTGCAATGCAGAAGCTTTTTAGTTTGATGTAGTCCCACTTGTTTGTTTTCTGTTTGTTGCTTATGCTTTTGGTGTCATATCTAAAAAAAATCATTGCCAAAACCAATATCAAGGAGATTTTCCCCTGTTTTTTTCCCTAAGAGTTTGCAGTGTCAGGTCTTACATTTAAGTCTTTAATTCATTTGAAGTTAGTTTTTCTGAGTGGTGTAAGACAGGGTTGGAGCTAAATTTAATGTTTTTTCCCAGAACTTTATAACTGAGAATGTTTTGATGTGTTTATATTTTAGGATAAGAAAAATACTTCAGCTTCAAATTCAGACAAGGAAATGAAAGCTGAACAACTGCCTTCTTGTGTCAACCCCGGCAATCCTGTGTTTTCATGTATGTTGGACCCAAAGACACTCCATACAGCTACTTCACTATCAAAATCTAAGATGATTATGTATAAAACCAATTCAAGTAGTTATGGTGAATTTTTACCTATGCCACAGTTTTTCCCCTGCAATTATACTCCAAAGGAGCAAGAATTTACAAACCATATCAGAGCTACTGGACTTTATCAAAATAACACTCTAAATACTGCACCTGACAGAACCAGAACCCTTGATTTTCCTAATTTTCAACACACTCTATGAAAATATATTCCTTTGTATATTTAAGGGAAAATATACTCAGAAAAAAAAATGAGTTTTAAATCTAAGGCTGGAATACCTAATTTGGAGTATAAAAAATTTGAATTAAAAAAAATACTTTTAAGAAATAAAGCATTTCAACTGATAATTGAATGACAGTGACTTCTTAAGTGTTTTAATTAAATGTTTTTATTTTATTCAAAATAGCAGAATAAAAGGTAGAAGTGTTTTCGTACATCCTAGCTTTAGTGCATGTACTCCAAAAGCTCTAAAAAACTTTCATGGTCTCAATTGTCTATTGAGTATATTTATCAAGACAAAGGAACACAGGAGCTCTAAGAAAAAAAAATGAATCAAGGAAGACTCTGACCAGTAATTTCCCACTTTTCTGTTATTTCACGTAAATGGCTTAGAACCTGGGGAAATGTTAGTTAGTTCCCACTGCTAGGCTGTGGAAGGAAGCCTTATTATTCATTCATTCATTTAGCAAATATTGCGTGAACACCTACAAATGGCAGGCACTATACTATGCAAATGGAACACAGAAATAAAAGATAGTCTCTTATTGTTTCAGTGAACAATAAAAATATTTTGGGAGAATGAGATTAGCAAATTATTAATGTAATTTATGTAATGCATGCGAAAGGTCTTTCAGACACAGAGACAGAATTGCTCAACATGAGACCAAGGAGATCACCAGACGCATCCTGGAGAAGATAAAGCCAAATCAAAAGGAAGGACAGTCCAGCAAAAGTACCAGTATGTATAAAAGTACAAAGATCTGAGAACGTGGTACTTTTATAAATGCAATTAATTTGATACAAGCTTCCCCTGCCAACCAAAAGTAAAGTTCCTATGAAAGCTTTCATAAACCAAAATGGCTTAATGCAAAGAGTACTCCCCACTTTCCAAAATTTTGCGTTACATCTCTTCACTTTTATGGAAGACCTACATTAGAACCTGTTTTCGTTAACCGAAAGAAATCCAAAGAGGATTTTTCTCTTTTACCAAAAACAAACAAAGAAACAAACAAACAAAAAAACCCTGTTACCATCACTGTTCCTATTTTTCCCTTTTAGTTTCAGGTTCAGGATATTAACATAAATTAGAAAGAATAATCTTGTGAGTCACTAGGGTATCAGAAAACTTTGATCTTCTATTTGCAAAAATGGCTTGATGTGAAGAAACAGCTCAAACTCTGCAGCCTCATGAAATTCTTCCAACTATCCCAAAATTTGATATTTGGTATTGGCACAAGAAAGAAGAAAATTAGTTTTGTTCACTTCCTCTAAAACAGCAAAAATCAAGGCTCTACACAAGATTTCCAGGCAAATAATGCAATAGAATTTGAGTTTATTAGTCTTTTCTCCACAAAAACTATACAAACCGTTTTCCCCTTCACTGTAGATGCTTGATTTGTGGCAAGTGGAGTCAACTTTTTAATATGTAAAATCTAGATATTAACCTAATGTTTCTTACTATGGCAGATGGTTAAACATTTTTTGTTTTGTTGGTATTGCTAACATTTTCAGATAGGATGAATATCCTGGAATCAAGCATACTGTCTGGAATGTCATTAGGTAGTCATTCAGTGCCTAGTACATTCCAGGGACTATTTAGGCACTAAGAGCCTGCCCTCATGGAGCTTGGATTCTAGTAAATTCTAATAGGGACAGACCAAAAAACATATGTAAGTGTGTATACATATTTATATATAATGTAAATATTTGTAAATATGTATTTGTTTACATGTTACATGTTATACACATATTTATACACATAAAGACATTTATAGATAATTATATACATATACATGTATATTTACATGTAAATATGTCTATATACAACATTTATGTATTGGGTTGTTGGGAAACACATGTTTGCGACAGATGGCACTAGCTCATTTTTGGAAGTCCTAGGGTCATTCGCATCTATGTAATTGCTATGTCATTTGACAGCTGACAGTTCTAGCTTCATTCTAAAAAAAAAAAAATTGAGCAATTTGGTTGAGTTTTGGAGATCTCACAACAACTTGAAGATGGAAGACCAAACTGTGTATTTTTGCCATATTTTACTGTTTCACTTTTATAAAGGGAAGAACAGGCGTCAAACCCATGTTACAAGACTTGACATATTGCAGAAACATTGAACATCCATCATTGAAGCGTTCACGACCACCTGAAGAAGCTGGGATACGTAAGTAAGCTCGATATTTGGGTTCCATGTGAACTCAAAGAAGTTCATTTGACAGCACGTATAAACATCTATAATATACTCATTAAACGGGAGGAAAACGATCTTCTTTGAAGAGACTGATAACTGGTGATGAGAAGTGGATTGTTTAGAACAATGTGGCGTGCAATGGTCTTGGTCCCAATGTGATGATTTGCCTCAAAAGACATCAAAAGCAGACATTCATCAGAGGAAGGTTATGCTCTCATTGTGATGGGATTTTAAAGGTGTCATGTTTTTTGAGCTCCTACCAAGGAACCAATGTGTACTGTTGGCAGTTGGACAGTTTGAATGAATCCGTCATCCAGAAACGTCCAGAGCTTGTTAATTGTAAAGGAGTTGTGCTCTATTGCGACAACGCGAGACCACACAAAAGTTTGATTGCCTGTCAAAAATTATTGGAGCTTGGATGGGATGTGTTGCCACACCCACCATACTCACCTGACCTTGCGCCGTCAGACTTCCACTTGTTTCGCTCTCTTCAAAACTCCTTGCGTCATATAATGTTCAATTCAGATGAGGCTGAAAATCAGCACCTTGATCAGTTTTTCACAAATAAAGACAGGTCCTTCTATGAACAAGGAATTATGAAGCTCACTGAAAGATGGCAAAAGGTTATCAAACAAAACGGCAATATATCATTGATTGATCTTTGTTCTTTATATAAATAAATGACCTTTGAAAAACATAGACAAAATATGTTATGACTTTTCCGACAACCCAGTATTATATATAGATATATATATAAATGTTACATGTAAATGTTTATATATGTATGTATATAATATGCCAGGTGATAAGAGTTATGGGAAAATTAAAATAGTGTTGGGGCAAGAAGTTATTTAGGTACGTTGGTCAGGGAAGGACTCTGATGAGGTGTTGTTTGACCACATCCCTGAAGGAAGTGAAGGAACAATCTGTGGAAAATCAGCTGTTGTGAGGCAATTGAATATCTGGTCTGTAGTTCAAGGGAGAAGCCCATATTGAAGATAATCATTTGAACAACATCAACACAAAGACATTATTTAAACTCATGAGACCAGATAAGTAGAAAAGAAACCCAAGGACCAAGCTCTAGGGAACCCCAACATTTATCAGGGGGATGAATGGAATAAACCAATGAGATCAAGGAGTGATTGATTAGTGAAGTAGGAGGAAATTAGAAGACTGCGATGCCCCAAAGCCAAGTAAAGAATTTGTTTCAAAAGGGAATGGCCCCAGCTCTGTAAAATTATCTTGGTATATAACACATGGACTGAGACCTGAGGCAATTAGGCGATGTGGAAGTCATTGGTGACTTCAACAAGAAGTGAGGTGGTAGAGAGGAAAATTTATTGGAATAGGTTTAAGAAAGAATGGAAGTAAAAACTACTTTGGAGTAGTTTTGCTGTACACTACACAAAGAAATAGGGCAATAGCTGGAAGGAGATATGGGGCCAAAAGTTATTTTTTTAAAGACTGGAATATAATACAGCGTATTTGTATTCTGATGGGACCATATTTTAAAAACCACTGACCTACAGGAAGCAGTTCTAAACAAAAAATGTAGCTGAAAACAACTACAGCATAATGCTTCTTTAATATGGACTTAAAAAGCTCAAATGTCGGGCCAGCCAGGTGGCGCGTTGGTTAGGAGTTGGCTTGGGACGCCAGCTCTGAGCTGGTGGTTTGGACACCACATGAGGACCAGTGACGCTGCACCCTCTACAGCTAAGATGGTGAACAACAGCTTGACCTGGAGCTGGGCTGCCGTCTCTGGCGACAGCATAGGCTGAAGTGGGGCTGGCCCGCAGTGAGCATGAGCTTTCGTGAGCTGCCATGAGCCGCTGTGAGCAGCCATCCAATGGCTGGCAAGCGACTGCTTCACCTGGGAAGAGCACAATGATAATACAAACATGGGCCAGTGAAGCAACGTCCTCCACAACTAGACTGAAGAACAAAAGGACAGCAACTTGTCTGTTCCCCTCCCCGAATTCCTCAATAAAATCTTTAAAAAAAAAAAGGCTAAAATGAAATAGGTTTTAAGTAACGTCAAAAGTAGTTCCTTCAAAGAATATCTTTTGGTTTTCAGGAGCCAAGTTTTTATTTGTTCATTTCTTGCATTTGAAGTACTCCTGATGATATACTGGGCCTGAGACTGCCATAGTCCTTAACCACACAACTGCAACCAGCCACATTAGGGGGTTCTCCTTTCTGTCATTCTTACAGAGACCTACCTGATCCACTAGTTTCTTGTCCTCAGCCTTAGTTACGTTGATTTAGTGTGCAGCACAGAAGGCGTCCACGGACGTGACATCCATAGGCACATCACAGCTGGATGCGAGCACACAAAGACGGGCTTGGCACTGATCCAAGTCTTCTGCAGCTTTGCGAATTCCACCTGCGAGGCTATTGAGGGAAGGAGAAATGTCCCTCTACCTCTGTGGTTCTTTTGGCTGGTCTAATAATCAGACAGCAGACAGATTAGCAAGAGAAAATCACCAAATTTCATACATACATATGTACAGGAACTTCATATACATGAGAGAGTCAGAGAGCCCACAAGCAGGAGAGGTTCAGAGATAGAAAAGGGAATTGAGGTACCGTATTTGCCGGCGTATAAGACGACTGGGCGTATAAGACGACCCCCTAACATTTCCACTCAAAATACAGAGTTTGTTATATACTCGCCGTATAAGACTACCCCCTCTTCCGCACACCTTCCACACACCAAATAAAAGGTAAAACAATATCAGATTTGATTTCAACATTTATATTTATATTCAAATGCTTATGACATGCAGGAAAACTGTCACAAGGCTGTATGTAATCAAACATATACATAAATCGCGATTCGCGATTTTGCGCTATCATACTGGGTGTATGGTCGGCTGTGTGCGATTTTGCGAGTGTGGTAAAATCGCATAACAGCAAAATCGCATAACAGCCGAGCATACACCCAGCAGCGCTGCTGATGCCTGAACGGTATGTGGAATGAAGTGGGCGGGCATCGGGAGGCCACTATGGCACGGGGCAAGCACTATGGGCAGTCTATCTGAAGTGTACCTGGCGTATAAGATGACCCCCCACTTGGAGGCATATTTTTCAGGGCCAAAAAATCGTCTTATACGCCGGCAAATACGGTATATAAGACACTTTGAGGTAAGGTGTCCTGGGGGCTTGAAAAGGTCATTGCAAAATGATTAGAAGAGCAGATGTTTAGTAAATACAAGTTTCTCCTGCCCTACCCACAGGTCAAAAGAGGTTATCTCCAATAATCTCCCATTATGGGCAAGGCCTCTGATTCAAGTTCTTCCAGGTAGTTAAGGGAAGGGCAGAAGTTTCTTCTAAGCCCACAGCTAAAGTTGCCCTTAGCTCAAAACAATCCCTGTACCACAGAAGCACATCTTGGGGTGACTAGTTCTGAACCCCCACACCATCGTGGATGAAGGCAGTCTTCAGTACCTCTTGTAAAGCAGTATTAACATCCATTACGCCTCCAGTGGCAACGCCTTCCAGATTGTGTGGTGGATTATGGGTGGAGCCCTTGCCTCCAAAGGCTTTGGCAGTGGCAGGGAAACAGAAGAAATATCTTAAGAGAATATCTTGAGAGAGATGGTCTTAGCATCATATGCCCTTAAAACATTTTGGAAAGGAGAATTCGTTTTCAAAAACTGGACAATGGCAAAGAGAAGATGGTGGTAATTTGGTCATGACCTGAAGAATAAACCTGGTTTTGTTGTTAGCACATGAAAATTAAGGCTTGTAAACAAAAGGAATTATCCTGAACTTTATAGGAAAGAGGAAGCCTGTGGTGTACAATTGGATGCATGATGCCATGACACATTCCATTCATCAAACTAATTCTCCTTTGTAATTGAAACAGGGCCCGGCTGGCACCTCCATAGTAGAGGTCTCTCCCCTTTCCTTGACCTACCTATAGCTTAACAATAGATCATCCCCCTGGGGCTTTAGCTCAGAATGTCCCCTGTCCCACCAGTTCCCTGTTTTAGAAAATTACCCTGAAATTTATGATTAACTCCCTTAGGCGTATTGATCACAATCTCAATGGTCTACTAGGCTAATCCCATCACTTTTCCTGGGTTGCTGACTCCCCCATATAATCACATGGCCACAGGGGAGGCTCCATGTAGACCCCTGGAACTGTCACGTACCCTATGGAGGAATGCCCAGGTCTTCCCTTAAAAACCCCAAGCTGGTCTGAGAATGTTGAGGTAGTTTTTGGAGGTGTTAACCCGCTGCCTTTTCAGACCACTGGTGCTCTGATAATAAATGTTTATTCTATGACCCATCTCCTGTGTTGGTCTATGGGCTGAGTGGCGCAGGCAGCACGAGCCCCAGACTCGTTTGGCCTCCAGTTTCATTCTCATCCCATGTTTGCCAAGCAATTTATGATTGGATTTACCCTAGACATCTGCTTATAAGGAGAAATGAATTGTCAATATAGCCTATCAAGCCCATGAACATTCTCAATCAATTTCTGATTATGAATTAATGTTAAGTAGGCAATCTGTTTTGTTCAGTCTCCTGAGCTTAGTTAATGTGAATGTGACCCCTGGAAATGAGCTGGCTCTCAAGGGTACTTTGATGAGTCTTTGAGAGTGAGGCTGAGCTAGATCAATTCAGTAAGGTAATGAAACACACCCCTGCTGTCAGGCTTCCTGGGAGATCACCTATGAACCTTTTGCCCAGATGGTATGTGCAAAAATCCTTTGCCCTATTTCCCAGGTGGATGAGGTTTGCTGGCAAGTACTTGGCTTGTGTGGGGGTTCAGAAGGAATCACCCCCAGGATGTGCCTCTGTGGTTTGCAGATTGTTTTGAGCTAAGGGCAACTTTAGCTGTGGGCTCAAGAGAAACTTCCGCCCTTCCCTTAACTACCTAGAAGAATTTGAATTAAGGGTCTGTCCATAATAAGAGATTTTCAGAGATAACCTTTAGATCCACCTATATGACAGGCCAAACTTATTTACTAAATATCTGCTCTTATCATTCTGCCAGGACCCTTTGAAGCCCCCAAGGCACCTTACCCAGAGTGTCTTATATACCTCAATCATTCTTTCTATCTGTGAACCTCTCATGCTTGTGGGGTCTCTGAGCCTCTTATGTATGTGGGGTTTCCATACATATGTATGTATTAAATTTGGTGATTTTCTCTTGTTAATCTGTCTCATGTCTATTTGATTATTAGACCAACCCAAAGAACCTTGAGGGTAGAGGCAAGTTTCTTCCTCCCCCACACTTGCTAGGGACAACCAGTCTCTCCTTGACCAAACTTGAAACAAGTTCCTCTGAGCTATCCAGTCTAACAATATGCAAATTCTTTCCTATTCCTGTAATGCATCCATTGTAAAAATGGGCTAACTAGCAGTCTTTCCCTGGCATGTAATATTTTTATATAGCTTTGATATTTGTTAATAACCAAATCTGTCAAAAAGCTTTAATAAACAAACGTGTACATTATGTTCTTATGTATGGTCATCACACAGTAGTGGGGGATTAAAGATCTCTCCAGTTTACATAAAGGCTACATTTAGTTCATTATCCACTTGGTATTGTGGCCGTGGGCCTTAGACAAAGGCCTTCCCAGACCATGTGGTCACTAAGGATTTTGCGCGGGCTTCAGACAAAGACATTCCTGGACTGTATGGTCAGCAAGACTTCCACGTTTAACATTTCCAAATTCCTACCTCACCTGGGAGCCAGTCAAGAACTGGCACAAGGCTGCATGTCCTAATAAGGAACCTTAGCTGCTAACATGGAAACCTCAGGGTCGGGGCTCAGCCTCTGGATGTGAATCCGCTGAGCCAGTGCCAGCATTAGTAAAAGTTGCTTCCCACGCCTTGGTGTCCTGTCTCTTTGTCTGGGTTCCCCGCAACAGTATCTTAAAATTAGTTTCAATCAAATAACTGGCATATGAAAAAAAAAATGAAAGGACTACCATAACAATTTTTTCTTATTTTTTATTCATAGATTTTAATGATAGCATTATTATTTGGGAAAAACTGCAGGTTTTCATCGTATAGCAAATGAGAACGTCTGTATCAATATTCTAATTATCACTACTTCAATCTAAGACAAAAGTCCATTGGAAATCATAAGAGACGGCTCAAAAGAGGTCAGCTATTTCATGAATACAAATGAGTACCTGCTGCATTGAAACCAAGACTTCATTTAGAGGATAGGAACAACAATATTAATAAATAACTAAGACTTTCCCTTTGTGAACAAAAAGGGGTTTATACAAAGTAACCTCCCAGGGCGATCTGATCAGAAATTCCTAACTGGGAAGGTCATGATGGGTAGTCACACTCAGACACATAACTTCTTCAGTAAAAGGTTCATCTTTGCCTTAAGTTAAGCCCTGTTTATTGTTTCTGTGCAACTAGGTTAACACACCTTGGAAGTAAGTCAAAACCACCCTCAAGAGAGCACATAATCTTGTCAACTATCCTGTAATCCAATCCCCACCTTGCTTTCTCCCACCTCCATGTAATCTTCCTTACCTTTTCTCCTCAGTTTCAAATGCATAAAAGAAGCTGCAAAACTATATTCTCTGAAGCATTTGAGATCTTGCTCTCGGTATATGCTGTGAGTTTGGCTCAAGTAAACTCATAACAATTCTTTACTGGTTTAGATGTTTCTTACATGGATACCTTCTACCTCCTCCAAGCTAATGGGCACAGTCTTTTGTTTCCTGTTTGGGATGGTAACAGGAAGAGCCTGAAGAAAGACTGGGTTAGTTAATATATTTTGAATGTCAAACTGGTATTTGACACATTAAAAGACTTCCTTCATTTTGGTGACATTTATTTTTTAAAATAAAAACAAGCAAACAAACAAACCAGGGATGATTATAAGAAAAAGCAAGCCTAACACATCAGAAGTTCTGATAACTGGACAGGACTGCTACAGAAGTTATCAAAAGTTGATTTGTAGAAGTAAAAGTTTCAAGGTTGCTGAACTAGGATACACTTACACGTTCAAAAAAGCCTTGCTTTAAAAAAGAAAAACAAGGCTGTGTTATAATCCATAGTCATCTTGAATGACATCAGATGATCAAAAACTGTAAAAACTTTTCCCAGTTTTGTTTTCCTATAAAAAGGGAAGTTGTACTGTTTTCGCTTAATGCTTGCATCACCACAGTGATCCAACACCAATAGTGGTGCAATCCAATGCCAATAACATAATATCCTAAATTCACATTTTACCTTTTGCTTTTTTTTTTTTTTTTTGGTGTACTTGAAGGTACTAGAAAACAATCTTACTAGAAAACTTATCTTCCCCAGATGGTGTTTGAAGTTGAAGATAAGCTTTTCTAAACAGCTGTTTTGATAGGTTGAACTGATCTATCTTCAAACAACAGGTGGCAGAGGCATGTTAAAGAAAAAAAAAAAGATTTTGCACATTTGGGAACTAAGTGAAAACATCAGTATTGATTATACCAAGGTCAACTATTCAGACAATTAAATAGTATATTTACTACAAACAAAAATACTTTATAAACACAATCTTTTATTTAAAAATTCTACCTTGTTAAAAATAAATCAGTAAGTGTCCTGGTAATCATCATGCCAAAAATATTTTGTTAGTTATGAGGGCTAGTTGAATTCATAACAAAATATATATATAATTAAGTTATATCTAAAAATCAAGAAGAATTAAAATAGATTTTCTTATTTTGATTTACTAATTCAGACACCATTCAAGTCAAACATACTCTTTTCCATAGATTTATAATATTTTACCCTCTACAGAGCTAAAGTACAAAAGAGAAAGTGATTCTGCACAATTAGCCATAATATGTACAAATACTTCAAATGTCTATAGTTATTTTCGAAAAACTTAATACCTATTACAATACCTTGTTGCTTCTAGTAGTCATTAACATTTTAGTTCTGTTCCTTGAATTATATTCCGAATCTTCTCAGCATCATTTTGTACAATTTTGTTGGATGGATCAATCTTCAGTGCAGCTTCATAATCCTGTAGGCCTATATTTATATAGCAATGGTGATTAATAAAATATTTCATAAATACTTACTTATATTATCTAGACAATATTTTTTAAATAAAAATAACCACTAAGAACAGACTCCCATCTTCACACACGGTAGTATCTATAACAGACTGAAGAAATTTTTCAGTGATTTTGGGAATAACTATAATGAGTTCATTCAGGATTCAGTAAGAAGCAGTTATTTTAAATTCAAGTACAAATAAGCTAAGAGCTTACACTCATTAAAGCATGAACAGATTCAATCAAACTCATATAACAAAAGGAAATTTTTATCATCTCAATGAAAAAGTAATAAATGGCTTCTGATTTAGAAATTCTAGATTTTAAAAATTAATTGTGGTAGACTCAATCCATATTTTATATAATTCATAGGCTAGTTTGTGCTTTTTTTCTGTAGTTATCACATCTACAGAATTCCTTTGAGGAAAATTGGTCAAGAAGGAAAGCATTGTGGATGGGTTGTTAAAAATATACAACTGAATCTAAATCTTTACCAATAAAGCAGTGGGAAGAGTTTCTTTGGGAGTAAGAAAACCTGAGTTCTAAGTACTGTTTATTTGCCATGTCACTTCAGGCAAATCTCTTAACTTCTCCAACCCTCCACTGTCTCATCTTTAAAATGAAGTGTCCTTTTAGCTCTGAAAAATCTATGATGCTATTATAATTTCTAAAGACAGTTTTCCAATGTTTCATTCCTGTTTTGAGATATATATATCTATATATCTATATATATATATATATATATATATATATATATATATATTTTTTTTTTTTTTTTTTTAGCTGAGCCATCCTGCCACCTGTTGGCAGCTCAGCGGCTGCTCAGCTCAGGCCAGAACTCGAACCGCTGCTGCTCAGAGCTCAAACTCTTGAGTGAGCTCTTAACCAACTGAGCCACTTGGCCGGCCCTGTTTTGATATTTTTTATTCTCATGAAGCGGGGTAAGACACTTAAAAAAGGATGGGGCATATAAACCTAATTTAGATGCTTTGGTTAGAAAAATCTTCTAAAAATAACGGCAGGAACAAGTTTAAAAACGAACTTGGTAAGCTAGAGCCCATTCTCTGGTGAGGAATTGTCACAGAGGAGGCTGTTAGGTCATGAATGAAGGGATGCCAAATGGGCATCTGGGTAGGGAGGGAAGGGAAGAGGAACATTGAATACACTGGCTATTACAAAATTCTGCCTTTTGCGGGGCGACCCATTAGCTCAGTTGGTTAGAGCATGGCGCTGATAACACCAAGGTTGCCGGTTTGATCCCTGCATGGGCCACTGTGAGCTGCGCCCTCCTTAAAAAAGAGTCAACTATGCCATTGTAGCATGAAAGCAATGTGTAACCAATGACAAAAAAAAAAATCTGCCTTTGGGGCAGCATGAATAAATGCAAATAGTCACTAAATATATTCAAAGTATAAAACAATAAAAACTAAATAAATGCTATGGCTTCTATACACATGGGGCTGAGTTACAAACCTTAGTACAGTCTTACAAATATAAGCAACGACATACATTGTGATAGATTAGTTATTTTTGAATGTGTGTATATGACCAAAGAAGCTTATTATATCTTAAGTGACCCATTTATATCCTTTATTATACATCTTTCCATAGAAAAGTTGTCTGATGCTATAGCATTTTCTTAGGCCCAAAGTTGTTCATATCTCATTTTAACTCTCTTTTGCAACAACAAATTTTAAAAATATTTCAGTCACTTTTTGTTAGGTAAGTTACAAGGAATAAATTAAATGTTAAAAATATAAAATAATGGAGTCCTAAAAAGTTATGGTCTTAAATAATCCCAATGACATTTTTTTCAGAGTATATATAAGTTGGAACTTAAAACATTCCTATGTCTTACCTTCTACATACAATTCTAGTTGGCAGAATGCTGTCCCACGTCGTACATGCGCCTTCATTCTTGTATTAGCATTGGCTGCAACAGGTGGTGTCAATAATTCCAGCGCCTTACCAAATAATAATAATAAGGGAAAGACATAACTTTCTGATTTAAACTTAAATAAAAACATGATGAAAATCTTAATTTTAAAACAAGCTTCAAATTCTCACCTATCTAAATTTTTGGCTTAGCTGTAGTACAGGAATTTATCAAATACATATATTTATGTTGAAAAATTAAAAAATTGTTCAACTGTTCCGATACCCTCTCCCCCAAAGTTATGATTTGGTTTATCATGTGAAACCTCTATAACTTTACCTTTGCTAGCAGGAATGATTAAATAGCATTTTTGGTCTTTTATCTTCAAATTGAGTGATTCGGTGTATTCATGTATTCAACAAATATTTGTGCATGAAATTGTGCTAGTCAAAAGAAAATGGATCATGAAAGTATTGTCAGATCTTAACTGTCAGTAGCTTAGTGAGATCCAAGTATGAGGATTTGGTTGTTTCTCAGTATTGTGAATCTCAAGGAGACACGTAAGAGATTTTGCATGGGACTTTTCCTTAAGATAAATTACTTCGATATGGAAAAAAGAAAAAAACTAGAAGTTTAAGATAATGACATGATGTTAGTAATGGACATCAGGATATACTAAGTCACTCTGAAAATGAGAAAATGATTAGAGTGCTAGCTAGCCTTATACTGTGCAAATGGCAGTAATACCAAGTGATCTTCCTCCCACCTTCATTAAGTCTGCAAAACTTTAACCAGAAAAGGGGTAAGCACAAACTGACAACCATTTTCTAATTTCCTTGTGAACTTCAACTGATATACCAAGGCAAAATAGTAGCAACTGGTACAGGATTTCTAATCTAATTTGAAATCTAAAGAAACACCAGTTCCTTGTCCATTCAAAAAAAATTTTTTTTCAGGATAAAGATGTAATAGGAACAACAATTCTTAAAATCCTTTATTATTTAAATAATCCTCAATTATTAAAATTTAACAAAGATAAGGGTATCATTTAAACCATTAATAAGAAGATAACAATTTTAAAGCACCATATATAAATATATATACCTTAGAAGAATCTTCGATGGCCTTGTGTAAGTTTCTTAACTTTAGGTGGCAAGCAGCCCGATTCAAATACAATAGTGGAATTTTATTATTTAGTCTTATGGCTAAGTTGTATGCATTAATAGCTGCAAAATAGTTTTCTGTTGCAAATAATTTACTAATGAGAGAAAAACAGAAAAGAAAAACAATGTAACACTGAAACAGAAACACAGAAATAATATCTAGTGATATTTGGCAAAGGGGATGTCTTACCTACTTTTCTATTCCCTATACAATGGCTGCACTGACTCCACATACATCAGCATGTACTTAGAGTGACCTCACCCCCACCTCAAAGGGTAGCCATAAGTAGTTTAAGCCAGTAGACATATTTCCATCCTCCTTGCTACAATGATTGAATAAGGAATGGGCTTATGACCCAAATTGGTCTGTTCAGAATGGCGCCTGGACTTTGTTTCCTAAGGTAGAGTTAAAAAAATTGGGAAAACTCCCCTTGCTGGATACAATGAAGAAAGCACACAGCCCAAATTGTTGGGGACCATTTTTTTTTTTTTTTGGAGGGCAGTGTAACTGGCCCTCATATGTGGGATCCAAACCGGGGCCCTCTGGCATCCCAAGCCAGTTCTTAACCATCGCGCCACTCGGCTGGCCCTGTTGGGGACCATTTTTAACACCATGGGAGGAGCTGGCTACAGAATAAAGCTGATACTATGGAACTGGAAAGAATAAAAAGACAGAAAGAACCTGAGTCCTCAGTGAAATAGTTAAGCTGCTGAATTAAGATTTATCTAAAATACAACACACTTTTAGCTTTTCAATTTTAGTCAATAAATTCCTTTTAACATAAAGCCAGGTTTAATTGAATTTTTCAGTTACTTGCAAACAAAAGCATCCTAACAGATGCTCTTTCAGTTTAAAATCTTCCAAAATTCTCTTAAACAGATGTACATAATTAAAGGATTTATTTTTTTGTTTTATTTTATCTTTTAAGATTTTTAAAATTGGGTAATTGGGGGAGGGGAAGAGTGTTAGGGAATTGGGGGAGGAGCACAGTGTTGGGGAAGGGGAACAGCCAAGTTGTTGTCCTTCAATCTTAGCTGTGGAGGGCATAGCAAGCTCAGCTCCAAGTCCAGTCATACCGCTCAGCTCAAGGTCCTGTGTTCAATTAGTTGCGGGTGGGTGTAGTCACCATCCCATGCGGGAGTTGAACTGGCAGCCTTCTTATTAAGAACACATGTTCTATCCACTGAGCCGTCCAGGAGGCAGCTCAGCTAACAGTGCTGAGTTCAGTCTTTAATTGCAGGTAGGCGTAGCCCACCATCTCGAACAGGCAACTTCCTTATTAGGAGCATGTGCTCTCACCAGCTGAGCCATCCTGCCACCTGTTGGCAGCTCAGTGGCAGCTCAGCTCCGGTGCAGCTCACAGGCCCATGTGGGAATCAAACCGGTGACGCTGTTGCTCAGAGCTCGCACTCTTGAGCAAGCTCTTAACCAACTGAGCCACTCGGCCGGCCCAAAGGATTTATTTAAAATGTTTCTTGGGCTGGCCAAGTGGCTCAGTTGGTTAAGAGCTCGCTCAAGAGTGCGAGCTCTGAGCAACAGCAATTCGATTCCCAGCCCAAAAAAAAAAAAAAAAAAAAAAAAAAAAAAAAAAAAAAATGTTGTTCCTTTTTGTATCTCCTGTACAAGTCCCAGAATCTCGAAAAATGCATAAACATAAGAAAAACTGAAAATACTTTGCCAAGTACAAAAGTGCCATATAAATAACACTTTGTATTCATTTGCAGTTGGTTGTACTGCATACTCTACAGTTCCAGAATATTGAACGTGATGACATCAAAAGCAGACCCATAAAAGCAGCCAGTAAATCCTGAGTAAAAGGTAAAATCACACCACTGTTACATCTAACCTAAGCCTGACTTATGTTTAAAATAACTTGCACAAGCTAGAAAAGCTAATTCCGTGGGAACAGTTTACATTTCTGAAATGCCTCGTATCAGTTAGATGTTTCTGAAAACCCCAACTCAAACTGGCTTAGACAAGTAAGGAAATAAATTATCTCATGTTAAAAAAAGTCCAGAGGGAAAGGCTCCATGCCCAATAACCAATAGCTTGAGGATGTTATCAAGGTCCCAGGTTCTTTCCCTCCATTCTACTGTCCTCAGCAGCAATCTCCTCCTAGGGCTGGTTTTCCTCATGGGTGCAAGATGGCTGTATAGTTCAAGGTGCCATATTCAGGCACAACATTCATTAGAAGAAAATGGGACAATATCTTCTGATATATGTTCCTTAAGAGCAAGAACACCCAGAAATCCCTGGGCTCACCTCCTTTCCCATCTTAATGAACAAAAGTAGCTACCTTTAAAAAAATATTTTGTCTTAAAAAACCCACCAGTCTCTCTCTCTCTCCCTCAATCATTCTGACCCTCTTTCTCTATCTCTCCACTTGTTTTACTCCTCAGTACTATATATTGCTGTTTGGGAACATTTTCTAAAAATTCAACAATATGGGCCAGCCGAGTGGTGCATTGGTTAAAAGTTGGCCTGGGACGCCAGTTCTGAGCAGCAGGGCCCCGGTTCAGATCCCACATGAGGGCCAGTGACTCTGCGCTCTCTACAGCTAAGATGGTAAACAACAGCTCGACCTGGAGCTGGGCTGCCGTGAGTCGCCAACGGCGTAGGCTGCAGACCCTGCTGCAATGAGCTGCCGTGAGCCTCTGTGAGCAGCCGTACAATGGTCAGTGAGCAACTGTCTCACCCGGGAAGAGCGCAATGATGATACCAACAGGGGCCAGAGAAGCGACATCCTCCACAACTAGACTGAAGAACAAAAGGACAGCAACTTGTCTATTCCCCTTCCCCAGTTCCCAAACACTGTTCCCTTCCCCCAACTCCCCAATAAAATCTTAAAAAAAAAAAATTTCAACAATATGACCATCTTTCTGTGTTAATATAGAGATACATGACTTTTTTTCTTTTTTAAGATTTTATTGGGGAATTGGAGGAGGGGAAC